GCCCGAGCAGAGAGAGAGAGATGCGAGCAAGAGAGAGAAAATGCGAGCAGAGAGAGAGAGATGTCGAGCAAGAGAAGAGTGAATGCGAAGCAGAGAGAGAGATGCGGAGCAGAGAGAGAGAGGCGTGTAGCAGAGAGAGAGAGAGAGAGACGTGAGCAAGAGAGAGGTGAGGCAGAGAGGAGAGAGATGCGAGCAGAGAGAGAGAGATTCGAGCAGATAGAGAGAGACGTGAGCAGAGAGAGAGAGACACGCGCAGAGAAAGAGACGTGAGCAGAGAAGAGAGGGCGCGAGCAGAGAGAGAGGACGCAGCAGAGAGAGAGACGCGGGCAGAGAGAGAGAGACGCGAGCTAGCAGAAGGAGACGCGAGCAGAGAGAGAGAGACCGAGCAGAGGAGAGAGAGCGAGCAGAGTAGATAATCTACCTATCTATTTTCTTCCGCTTTATCGATTGGCGAGTTGCGGGGGCAGCAGTCTAGTCCCTCAAACATGTCATGGGTCTTGCCATGGTCTCCTCCCGGTGGGTCATGTCTGAAACACGTGTCCAGTAGGCATCCAAACCGATGCCCAAGCCAACTCAGAAGCAGCGGCTCTTCTCCGAGCTCCTCCCGTGTGACTGAGCTCCTCACCCTATCTCTGAGGGAACGCCCAGCTTCTTTGCAGATGAGGCTCATTTTGACCATTTGTATCCGCAATCTCGTCCTTTCGGTCATTATCCAAATGTGAAGGTGGGAATGTAAATTGACCAATAAATCCATAACTTTACCTTCTCGATGCAGCTCTGAATGCAGACGCTACTCCCTCTTCACCACAAAAGTCCGATACAGCTCTGAATTCAGACGCTACTCCCTCTTCACCACAACAGTCCGATACAGCTCTAAATGCAGACGCTACTCCCTCTTCACCACAACAGTCCGATACACCTCTGAATTCAGACGCTACTCCCTCTTCACCACAACAGTCCGATACACCTCTGAATGCAGACGCTACTCCCTTTTACATACAGCGGCCGCATCACTGGACACGCTGCCTATAAAACAGTGACCCTATCAAATTTTGCAAGCACTCATACTCTTGCTCTTCTTTCCTCTCCTTGAGTCATCCTCGCTGCTTGAAACGGGTCCAAATAGCTCATATGAACTGGCAGATGATGTGATTTGGCTTTGGCTGCGGCCCATCAGTGTTGTCTGCTGCAGAACCACATCTTAGATCTCCTTCAATGCTCGGAAAAAAGCTGCCAGCAAGATCCAATTAGAGCTCCACGCACAAACCAGCAACCTGCTCATCAGACGCCCACCTTTCATAAGCTTTCATATCCCCCACACGGCTGTGCAAAGTGGAATTTAGCAGAAATTGTTGCATGATTGTTTTGCAGGTACTCAAACTGGGGACATTGGGCTACACAGGCGTGAGCGTTGTAAAGATAGTGCAGAGCAGAGATAGTGGCTCATTAAAAGCGCAGCGGTGGTGAGTAGTTGATAATTCCCGTGTGCGGTACAGTGCCATTAAAGGCATTGTGTTCGCGCAGTAATGGGCTTTTACCGCAGACCTGGAGATTCAGTGTTCGTGAATGTACACTGCAGTAAATGTAATGATACTGTTCTCGCCACATTCTGGGTCTCTTGAAAGATATATCCACTGTGTTCATTAGAATTACATTTATTTTTGTATACCTCAAGACAACAGTGGTCTTTAAAAGGTTGTATTGTCTCCCAATAGTCACAGAATCACCAGCAGCTGGTCAGAGAATTAAACAATTGGAACACAGGAAATGCAATTCTATTCAATCTATTCTATTAAATCTATTCTCTGATGATTTAAAAGAAAGTAATTGAATGAATTTGCCAACACAGATCAGAGAATGAAACAGTTCAAACACAAGAAATGCATATTTGAATTGTTGCAATGTCCTTCATGTCATGTCCTACTCCTTTATTAATCCATTTCTGGGTCAGGGGGTGGCAACCAGAGCTGCCACCCAAGGGACACAACATCAGCAGACTTCAGTGGGAGCAGATGACAAGGGTTGTGTTGGATTTGAACCCACAACAATAGGTCCAAAGACCAGTGCTCTACCAACTGAGCTACTGTCCAATGTTAACAAATCTCCTGCATCGACACGGAAAAACCACTATTTTAGTTGTTCTCCCACTAAAACCCAGTGGGAGAAAAGTGAGAAATCTCGGGGAGGCCCACATTGAGGGAGAGATATAGGACTCAGCCTGTAGAACGAGGACCGAGGCCACGCAATGCAGGACCGAGGCGGTTCCCAGGCACTAGAACTCATGAATCTGGGCCAGGGAAAACCGTCGGTAAATGAGACCAGGGGTCCCAGGTTCAGGTTCAGGGGTCCCATCATCACGCCATTCCCTGTATGCAAGCGGCATCTTGAACTGTTAGTAAAATCCATTGAGTGATATTAAATTGTTCTAACTTTTAATTACTTTGTTTTCACGGTTTACCCCACATATAATCAATGTGCCATGGAACACTAGAGCCTGGAGGGATTGCCACATGCCTAAGAATAATGTCCAATTAAAGTTTCAGTTTATTGAGTCTCACGACCATTTAAAGGGGACTCAACATGAAATTTTGACTTTTCCCTTTTCCCTTGTCATTTACACTCTTATTTGATTTAAGAGTGAGTCATGCATGTGTGGGTATTTTTTATACACCCAAAAGGAGGTAATTACTCTGACCGGGGTGGGGGTCCACCTCGACACTTTCGATTTTCTTTTCTCCTCTTTTGTTTATTTGTTTATTTGAATGTGACAGTGCACATTTATCAACATGTGTCTGTGTAAATATGCCAAATTTAGCCATGAAGGCTTCCATCTGGAGTCCCATGGTGAAATTAATTTGTGGAGTGCGGAAGATTCAAGAGAATGTTTCAAAAGGTTTTCAGACCAAAGACATCTTCCATCTCGTTGTGATTGCGTTTGTAAAGCATAAGAATGTGGAGTATGTTTAAAAAACAAACTATTCAGTCGAATCATCAGGTCCAGACCTGAGGAATGCTTTCAAAGGCATCTCAAAAACTCCCATTTGACTCTAACCTATTACATAAGGCCCTCCAGATGGGGCCTTTCCAGAGTTACTATGTTCTCCCCATGTCTGAGTAGGTTTCCTCCAGGTGCTCCGGTTTCTCCTTCCACTAAACCAGAGGTGTCCAAACTTTTTAGTATGAGGGCCACTTCAGTTAACCCAGACTGGTTCAGTGGCCGACGACCTGGAGAGTAAAACAGGATTCAGGCTGTTCTGACCTTTTTCAAAATTAAGTTTTGATCCACATTTGACAAAGCTGAAGTTGTCTGAATGATGAACGTTTACCATGTCACTTTAGCCCCACGCACAACATTTTGAGACACAATAAAATACAAATGTCAATATATTCAAATTAAGTCAACGGATAGATTCTAGAGCTTTACAAAGAGGTACAGTAGTCCCTCGCTATAACATGGTTATGGCCTCTGTGTTTCGCTGATTTTCTTCACAACTTCTCTGCGCTGCGTGTATACTCCAACATTGTATACCGCGTCATGTAACCGCCAGTATTCAAAGTCACTGTGGTGATAATATCAGAGGACTTCTGCGGTTTTTCCTTAGCCCTCAGTCCTTCTCCTGCCCCTCAGTGCGGTCTCCTCTGCAGCTGTAGTTTACAGTGTATGCACGGCTTTTGACAGCTGCAGCAGCGCTCAGACCTCCAAAGAACAGGTTTGATACCTCAGTATTGCACTTCAGTCCTTCAGGAGTTCAGGAGCTTATTAAAGTATGTGTGAGGGGTTTTACAGCCTTACAACATACAGCTGCTCCTTCACAGATTTTGCTTATTTTTAGAAAGTAGTCCTGAGATGAATGAGGGACCACTCCATAGCATGCATTTATTGGAAGACTTGAAGAACTTTTATGTTCTCAAAGACTAATTTGTGTTACAAAGGCAGATGGCCACATACTGTATGATGACAGAGAGCGCCGCAATTTACCCGCAGGCCTTAGTTTGGATCATGACTGTGTGTATTGAATGGATATTACTGGTACAACAAAATTGTAAGTTGCTTTGTGGGACCTTGGTCTGTGAAATTTGCAATATCCATATAGATTGTTAATTTTCTACCCCTTAATCCATTTCTGGGTTAGTTAATATAGACTACTTACTTTTTTCTAAACTTAACCATAATTTTAAATAGTGATACATTATAAGCTCGGCCTTTGGTTCATTTGATTTTCACGCCTCAGCTCTGCCGCATGAATAATGGAATTTCCCCAGGGCTCTTAAAAGCACCATGATTCCTGTTTCGTTTATCTACTGCCTTGTGTGACAAATCAAAACAACCAAACCCATGCTGCGAGGGACCGTGTATAGATCCCGAGCAACATGAGTAAGGCTCCTATCCGTCCAAACACATACATTTCTAATATAAGCTCGTTTTTTTTTTTCTGTGCACTCAAATGCGTCACAGCCCCTCGTCTCATAAGGATTCCGGTTTACGTCGGTATCAAGCTCAACCACAGTAGAATCCAGCTCCTCCAAACAGACAGTTGGAGCACACCAGTTTACATGCGTTTTTAAGTTGGTGGAGGATTTGTTGTTGCACGATGGCTGGGTGGATAGCACTCTCGCCTCTCAGCAAGAAAGTCCTGGGTTTGAATCCCAGTCACAACAGGGCCTTTCTGAGCGGAGTTTGCATGTTCTCCCCGTGTCTACATAGGTTTCCTCAGAGTGCTCCAGTTTCCCCTACAACTAAAAATATGCTCACTAGGTAAAATCATCTGGCTGCTGTAGTCCTGACTAAGCCGAGCATCAAAATCTGGAGATGGGTCCCCGGATGCTGTTACTACGGCGACCACTGCTCCTGACGAAAGCCTTAGTGGCATCAGGATGGGTCAAATGCAGAGGATGAATTTACCTACGAGGACAATAAAGTGCACTCATTATCTTGATCTAATTAGTCTAATAAAGTGTATCTCTTCCCCGTGTGTTTTCCAGATGACGGTAAGCTGTCCATGGAGGAGTTTCAGTCCTACTTCACGGATGGCATTCTGAGCAAGGAGCAGATGCAGGAGCTGTACTTTTCCATCGACCGGCAGCGCTCCGAGTAAGCCCCAAGCGTCCTCTGCTTTAAGCCCAGACGCTGAGGCCATCTGTGGGCCCCGGCTGCTGCTCCGTCCCGCACCTCAGTAAAGATGTCTATTATCGGCCGTAAACGTTTAATGTTTGAAGACTGAGAGTGTAATCACATATACATTATGCAAATATGTCGGTTTGGAGATTTTAACCATGGTTCCATAATGAAAACAACAATAAAAAACAGACCTGGAGTTGTTTTATCATTGCCACATGATTAAACATTTTTAAAACATTATTTTAAGGACATTAAAAAGTTTATTGTCCCGCTAGGGGAAAATGGTTTTGCAGCAACCAATCATCTAAAAACAGGCAGACATAGTAAAATCACAACACTGAAGATGACAAGAACAAGAGAGGATGCCACGAAGCTAGTTTCAATGAAAATATGCAGTAAAGTGCAATAGATAATATACAGTGCTATGTTTTAAGGTGCTTCAAAGTTGTTGGGATCAATGCAGTTCCCAACCTTTTTGTCCTACACCCAGGAGCCCTATAGCGTTAAGCTGAAATCTTAACGTAATCCTTATTTGTACACCTTGCACAGAAACCTTTACGTTGGCTCTTTACATACACCAGACTTATTAATGTGGGTTAAGTGTCTTGTCTATGGACACAACGGCAGTTCGGCACTTTACATCTGCAGCTGAAATAGAAATACATTATTCCATTCACAATACAACGTGGCTCTTCTATCGTCTATCAAACACAATTGTCCATTTGATGGCTCAATTTCCAAGGTTACAGTCCAATTATGTTATACCAAATGTCCTTTCCACTGTCTTTTCTCTTTCCATTCATTTTCTGTTTGTCTTTGTCTTGTTCACAGCAATCTGGATATTGATCAGCTCTCAGGTAAAAACTGTGCATAAACTGTATATTTATCTGATTATAGAGTGAATGTATGGCTCTGTCAGTCTGGAACTCACTCGTTTATTAGCTTTATAACCTACACACCTTTCGCATTCCCTGAGCTCCTACAGTTATTAACCGCATCCTCATATTGGTTGTAAAAGTCTATAAATGTCACACTGTAATGTCTCCCAATAGTCACAGAGTCGGTCCTCGCTCACCGACCTCCTGTCTCTGCAGAGTACTTCAGTCCACACCTGGGGGAGTACGTCAACGTCCTCTCGGCTCTGGAGAAGCTCAACGTGGCCATTCTGAAAGCCATGGACAAAACTAAAGAGGTAAGCGCAACGTTGAAATACATTTGACACTGACAGGGAAAGAAAAAAGATCATTTCTTTGCCGGCAGTAAAGCATGTTCAAAGACGGGATGAGATCGTCTTAATAACATAATGTTTGGAGGAAGCAGCGTTATATAAGACTGAAGAGAGAGATTTAGGGCAAGTTGTGCATGATTTGTATCTGAGATTGTTTCTGTTACATAAAACAATAAGAGAGCCTTAATTTGTCCCACAGTGGGGAAATTTCAGTGTTGCATCACCGGTTACAGAGCAGCAGGAATGAGGAGCACACGACACAAGATAAATGAAAATGAACTTTATACTAAGATAAAATAGAATAAAAACTCTAACTTTTGCATGATAAAGAAGCAAATCTAAAATTTTCACCTTTAGCATAATGAAAAAAAAAAAGCCAAAACCGGAGGGAAAAGTTGAAGAAAAAGATGAAGAATAATGACGAAGGCCTAGCAACAAATGGGGATGAGCACAGGTACATTTAGGTGAAACAGTTTAGGGCGGGACAGATAATCAACGGGACAGGAAGTAAAGCATAAAACAAAACCGGATCTTAAAGCTGCACTTACTGACTTTATTTTTGTATTCAGTACGAAAATTCAATCCATATCCATGCAGTGCATTGGGATATACGTCCTTTTGAAGAACGCAGGTTTGTGCTGGCGTGACATTTAATTTTAGATCGAGTTTTGGTGAAACAAGGAAGAGAATGTATTTCGGGGCCAGATTGTGACCAATCACAGCAGACCACTGGCCCCCGCTTTCTTGAGAAAAGCTACAGGTCTCTTGTTAGCACAGACAGCTGAGGTAAACAAGTAGCGCAGGCTAACCTGAAACTTCCTGTGTCTTCGTTACTGCTTACTCAGCGAAACAGCCATCCAAAAGAAAGTCTCGTTCCTCCGCGCTTCCCAGTTCAATCATTCTACGGTCACGCCTTCCACGTTCAAATGTGCAATCCTATTGTGAGACGTGAGCTCTGTATACAGCTAGCATGAGCAGAGGCTGGGGGGGGAGTGGGGGGTGAAAGCTCCTTGCGGGGAGGGCAAGCAGAGAGCGAGCTCAGCGTTCTGATTCGAAAGTTTCTCAAAGTCAGTTAGTGCAGCTTTAATCTTAATAAAACAAAACCATAAGAGAACTGGTGTCAAACTAAAACAAAATACCAAAAAACAGAAACCCACGCAGTAACAGATCCTAACGATGCACACAAAGTATACTAGAGTGTATTCCATAGAAAACACTTTGAACATCTCTGCACACGTGATTGCACACTTTTATCCCTGCAGCGTACGTGGCGCCAATACACACTTATATACTGTACATTTTATGACCTTGCTTATCAGCACAAATTCTTCATTATAGTTGCTCCATGATAACCTGAAAGTTAAAAATCACAAACTATGATCATGTCATGTCCTCGCATAGACTGTATATACAGTAGATGGACAATGCTATCCCGCTAGCTTAATGAAACCCGATAGGGAAGTGCTCATGGACGATGTTTTTCTCCAACTCTTGCTCTGAATTTTTAAACACTGTGTTGTGTGTGTATGAAAGATGTTTTTTAAAAAGGTGTAAAAACTCTGCCTCAAAGGTCCACGTGAATAAAAGTTGTTGAGGTCACACCAGTGGGGGCGGGTCCCGGCTCAAAAGTGGCCAAAATGACGTGCGCTGACATGCTTGCAATACCACCCCGGGCCGATGGGGGTGGACCCAGAATAAGAATTAGCCAATGCTAACATATAGCATTGGCAGACCTCTCAAAAACATCTTTACAGGATGGTCCAAAAGTTGGCTCTTGGCCCAAAGCTCCGTTCCACATGTGTGTCAAGGCTGAGGGGGGTGGATTTTTTTGGTCCACTCTAGTTTACTCGCTGTGAATTTTTGAAGTCACTCGTGAATGGGGCTTTCGCCGGCTGACGCATGCGCAGATGCGTTTTTTCACAATTTTCTTGTGGGCGGGACCACTCACGGTCATTTTGGATAGCTCCAGTAGAGCACTATTTTTGGCCCATTAGTTAGAACGGCGGAGATAGGCGTGACTACGTCCGTTAATTTTTACTGTCTATGGGTCACACACATACAGTATATGTCTCTCACTGCTTGTCCCACACACATTCATGTTTTATTTGCTATTTAGCCTGCTGCTGAACATAATCAAATCTAACCTTAGCTCTGTTATTATATCTCTTCCTACGTTTACTCATTAGATTGATCAGCATCGAAGTTCACTACCTTTATTACAGTGCTTTATTCTAGATACAAAAGTGAATTATTATAACAAAAAACTACTTTTGTGATGGGCAAACAACACCAACGCTCCGTAACTTGTGTGGTGTTGGAGCGTGTATCAAAACAAACCTGTCTCGTGACAAACGTGTCAGTGTCTCGGACTCTGCAGCCGCTGCTCGCTTTGCGTATCAACTGTGTCAGTGTTTTGAAGCGTTTCATTGGCTCAAGAGGTTTCCCAGCTTCTCATTGGTTCAGAGTGTTAGAGACTACGCTCTTTGTCAGCTTTTAGTGGATAGGATAGACATTGTGGATAGGCGCTAACTAGCTACAGTATAATTGATGCATTGATATCTCTTCACAATTTCGGGTAGTGAGGAGACAAGTTGCTATATAGTGTTGGTGAATTTGGCGACTTTGACATCTGCAAGTGGAAAACGCAGATGCATCATTTTTTTTATTCAACTAACAAAGTATTGTCTCAGGAAATGTGGTTTAGATCCCAGTAATGATGGATGTATCTGTTATTTTAAAGTGTACTTCCTGCATATCAAATGTGTTATTTGGTAAACAGCAGTGAAAGAGAAGCTGCATATTGATCAGGGGCAGACTGAGGGAGAGCAGCAGGAACATACTAACAATACAAACAAGTATCAATGCCAGAAAACTCTACTTGATACAACCCCTCTCCTCCCTCCCCTCCTTCCCCTCCCCCTTCCCTCGCCAAACAGCTGCAAACTCTGAAAGTCTAAAATGGCCTCTGCATGGAGCGTACACTAAGGCAGTTGTTGCTGTCAGAGAGCTGCTGTGTTTGACATTTGCAGAGCTCAGAGCCGGAATAACTGACTGGGGATTTAAAGCAGCACTGACAGAATCTAGAACCAAGACCTTTAAGACCGTTAAGACCTGTCTGAGCACTGACATCCACCTAAAGCGCTTCCACAGAGCTGCAGATCTGTCGCCTCAGATCGCAGCTTCGACGCTCATGATTAGCATTTTCCAAAGATAGCAGTTATGGAATCAGACGCTCAATGCTTGAATTTACCCGACATGGTCTATAATCAGGGGTGCACACAACTTTTTCAGTGAGGTTCTCAGATAAGTACCAGGAGATGGTGTTTGGTACTCACTCCATTTGTTGCGTGGTTCTTAATCGAGATTTTATACTTTCTTCTTTTTAATGCTAAAGTTTAGATCAGCTCAGATAATCCACATCCAAGTTAAATAATGACTCACAGGGCTCTCTCTTAAAAATGCAAAACAAAACAAAAAATCAAAACAATGTTCTGTTTGATTTGTTCACAACATTTTACTTTTGGGCACAACCAACAATCATTATGCATTATTAATGCAAGGGAAAATGTAGGTACCACAGCTTTAATTTAGAGACACGGGGAGGACATGGACACTCCCTGAAAAATAGTTCACACCGACACATAGGTCACCTTTAAGTTTCAAGTTACCTCCTCTGTAACCAGCGGCAGACTGTGCCAAACACGGCTCCTGGCCCCTCCCATTGAGCAAATTATTTTGGTAGAAATTACATTACATTACATCATTATATTCTAAAAACATGTACATTTAATTACGCACATCACATGGGCATAATTCCCATTTAACCCACCAGGAAATAGTGTCCTGGTTCGATCCTCGCGCACAGACCCGGAGGAGCGCAACAGACCGGTAAATGTGTGTGTAAATGTGTGTGTAAATGTGTGTGTAAATGTATGCTTGAATGTATTTCTGACCTGCACAAGTGTGCACCTTTGGCAAACTAGTAACTGAGGGAAGAGATGGACGAGAGAATGGATGATGCGTGTGGATGTTACGTAGGAATGGAACGGGGTTTGTGTGTGCGTGTGTGTGCGTGCCGGTGTGTGTGTGCGTGCCGGTATGTGTGTGCGTGCCGGTATGTGTGTGCGTGCCGGTATGTGTGTGGCGCGTACGGCATGAAAGTCCGAGTACTATATTAGCGCACGTAGCTAGAGATGGACCGCTCTGTCACACTGGCATTGCACCACGCCCCCCCAGGGAGGAGCACCCCACTATTTGAGAAGGACTGGTCTATGGTCTATGGGAAGTACGCAAAGGTACTTACTAACTGAAGTGATAGTACGCATTTCTGATATTTATCGCGCATGCCTACCTGTGTATCACTTATGTGCACCCCTGTCTATAATTATAAAATGCCTGTAAAAGCACTTTTTTCATATTAACAGCAGTCGTCTCTGAGGGCGTCACAGGATTGCCACCATCAGCACATAAGGAAATTAAACCATTAGGAGACATAACACATACAAGGTAAATGGCCAATGTGCATAAATTAAAAAAGCCTCCTGCACCAAAACATTTAAAAAACATAAAATCCCTCAGTTGTATGCACAGCTAAACAGGACTGTTTTTAACCTGGATTTGATCATTGTCAGAGTAGGAGCCTGTGTCACATTTCTTGGAAGACTGTTCCAGATTTTAGCTGCATAAATCTAAAATGCTGCCTCCCCATGTTTAGGTCGACTCTAGGCGCAAGCAGGTTAGCAGTAACATGTCTTGGATGTACAGAGCAGATTTAAAGTCTATTCTCTGAGCCACAGGAAGTCAGTGCAGAGACCTGAGAACTGGACTAATGTGGCCGTACTTCCTGGTTCCAGTCAGAATTATTCCATCCTAACCAATTCTAAAAATGTCTGACAGAAACGTCACTATGAGAGAAATGCTCAAATTCATTGTATTGTATTGTAATGTATAGTAAAAGATGGAGG